GCCTAAGGCAACTGAGTTCTGGGTTCAAGGGTTTGACCACACTCAGAAAAGAAAGTTTGAGCTCAACAGCTAAGAAGACTGAGCCCAAGCTCAGGCCTGGCTCAGTATAGCACATCAAATAACAGAGAATATTCTCCATTGTCTGAATCACTGGGCTGTCTGAGGCAAATGAATTCTGGGTTCAGGATTTGACTATAGTTCTAGGCTTGCATCACAGAGCATGGAAGAGTCACAAAGGGTTTCTGAGGTTGAGGGTGGGGACCTCAGAGAAGGGTGTGTCCACAGGCCTTCCCCATCCAGCAGCCCAGCAGCCCCTTCCCTTTCCCTGCATCTCTTTTCCCAACTCTACCCTGTCTTCAGATCATATGTTGATCTTATTGACATTTTCTGTTTGTTCCATATGTATCCCAAAGAGTACAAGTCACTCTTTTCTATCTGAACATTATGACTTGAGCCCCACCAATTCCACACTGTCTTATTCTTGTTAAGTATTTTCACTTCTTTTATGCCCTCTAATATGTCGCTCTCTACCATAGAGTGTGGATAGTCGGTATATATTAAGTGGATACATATAATATCTTTCTTTCATAATCTGGCTTACTTCACTCAATGGAATTGTATATTTTTTCTTTAAATTTTCTATTTTTTTGCTTTATGTATGGCTCTGTTGATAGGTGCATATTCATTAATATTGTGTCTTCTTGGTGAGTTGATATTTTTGCGATAAAGTGTCTTCTTAAAATTTTGTCAATATTCTATCTCAAAGTGATTTTTATCAGATATTTATATAACTACTCTATCTTATGCATGGCTTTTTTCCCCCCATTAATTTGATTTCAGCTTATCCCTGACTTTATATTTAAAATGTGTTGGTCATTTTTTTTTAATTTCATACTCTTTGCCTTTTCATTAGAACCATTTGGTCCATTAATATTTAATGTAATTGCTGATCCATTTGAATTTAGGTCTGCCATTTTATTATCTGTCTTACATTTGTATCACCTACTTTTTTTTTTGAGAGAGAGAGAGAGAGAGAGAGAGACTTTTGGATTATAGTCTCTACATTCACATAGCTCCTTTGAAAAATCAAATCAGTGTTTTTAAATTTAAGAATCAATCACAGCCTCCTCTTATTTAATCTGTTATTCATTATCTTAACCCCAAGTCTTCCAACTCCATATAAATACAGACTGAGTTTCTGCATTGATTTTGTGGCAGGTACATGACTCCCCATAATCAGGGATATGTCACAGTGTGCTAAGGAATTGAACACCCAGTCCTTGGTGTCTCATGTGACCAAGGAGTGTCAAGGCTTCAGGACAGAATTGATCAGAATACCTTTCCACTGAGTCATTGAACCA